AGGTATAAACTGTTTAGAGCCGTGCATTATGACGCATGGTCTGTGTGGTGAAGTGGGATCTCAAAATTGTATGATGAGATCCCAAACCACTCACTGTGCCGGACTGCCGACATTCGAATGGGGTACCCCGATGGCGTGTCTCAACTTGTGTACCCGTCGGCTGTCAGGTTGTACTCTTCGGAAGCGATGATGAGGATGTAGGCATCTGCCTTGAGGGAGGTAGACCTGGGGGCCTCGAGTGGATATGCTTCACTCGGTGTGCCGGTAGGTGACCACTGGATCGACCTTGTCAAGAGTGGGCTTAGAGCCAAATTCTTCAGGGAGCTTGTCGTCCCTGGCCTTTTCCTTCTTTTTAGGGGTAGGAACCACCTGACCTTTACTTTGCTCTCAGACCGTGACCGCTTACGATAGCGGGTATGTTTTTTTGCTACTCGAGGGAGCTCACAGGACAAACATATCCTGGAACTCTATTCGCGTTTGAACTTAACCACGCAACTGTCTTCAACGGGGGGCCAAATATATCCCTTCCCGGAACAGTGAGTAGCCTAGAGCAAGGTCTTGTTGGGTGACGGAGTCGTGCCACGTAGATCGCAAATAGAATAGTATTTGATATAGTCCTATCCTATTTCCTCCTTTACTCTATCCTTGCCTAAAACCTGATTCCTTGTGTCGACTGGTCAGGAATGGCTGAGCCTTTAGGGACTCGAGTCTACCGAAGAAGGATCAGGTCAACTGATGAGGGACTTAGGGCTACCAATGAGGGACCAAAGTCTACCAATATTGGGCCGTGCCTTCCAAGAGAACCGTGGTCGACTCTCTCGGTGTTGGTTAACCTGTACCCTGGTAATGATCTCTTCTTTGCTGGTCTTTCACATTCTCAGCTAACTGTCGCTTCACTCCGAGGTCCCTTTTCTCTCCGGACCCTTCTCTCTGGTGCGTGGTATCTTCTCCCTGGTCCACGGCCTCTTGTCCCTTCAATCCAACATTCCCCTGGGTTCTTTACAATTCCGGAAAGCACTTCACCACATCTGTATACACAACGAACGGTATTTCTCCTAAGAGATATTCGCGAAACTTAGCCAGTGCATATCTCATGGCACAAAGCTCCTTGTCATTCAATATAGATTTACGCCCAGCTGTTTGCAGCTGACGCGATTGATAGCAGAAAATACGCACAGCTCCATCTGTATCGTATTGCATCAGCTCACAGCCGATTGCAAAATCGCTTGTGTCACAGACGACAAAAAATATCGGTCCTGATCTGCAGCGCCAAAACTGGCGATTGTATTACGCTTTGCTTTATACGCTCAAAGGAACGCTGACAGTCAGCGTTCTAATCCCACTTTACATTTTTTGAGTAAACAAGAAAAATGTACTGTCATTTCAGCGTACTTGCGCTAGTATTTGTGCAAGCACTCCACTAGCTCAATTAACTTCCTTATTCCCTTGGCATCGACTGGCAATGGCCAGTCAATGATCTCCTTAATATTTTCTAGAATAGGACGTACGCCGTTCTTTCTGACGATGCACCCAAGAACTAGCTGCGAATATACACTTCTTGAGGTTGGCGTACTACAATTGCTCGCGCATAAGTGTAAGAACCTTACGGAAGTCGAGTCGATGGACTTTCACGTCTTTTCTTACTTATAACCCTGCTATAGACGTATACATTGTCGAAGTAGCTTGGTGCTAAATCGCACACCGGTCTCAATAGATGATTAACACATCTATTGAATGTGGCTGGTGCATTACTAAGACCTTGCGGCATGACCAACCACTCCTAGAGCATGGTACTAGGGGCGCTTTTTGCCGTACACGGAGATGTTCCCTTCACGCATTGAGATTTTATAGAAACCATCCATCAGATCCACAATACAACAATATGATACTTTTCAACATTCAACCTGTCATCACGTCGTTCCTCGTAATCGTGGTTTGTGCCGGTATCGTTGCAGTGTTTAAATTGCTGAACGCGTGTATTCGCTAGCCTCCTGTGACCTTGCGCACACAGAAGGTCTGAGAGCTGTGAGGGAAATTGATTCCCTCACATGGCCCACAGTTAGGCGATCAGCGAAGAATTTGTCGATCGCTTCAATCTCATTGGATACTGATTCATTACACAATCTATTTGCGCCGGGTAATAGGTCGATCTTGTATCGAGTAACTTTGTCCATATGTAGCTTACACGGAACGGGATTAAGAACACATCCTTGAATTTGACCAAACCTTGTACAAAGGATTTGACTTCAGTGACTCCCAGATTCGAGAAGCGCATCACTCAATCCGGAAAGTTTCTTATCTAGGATTCTTTCGTCCATCAATTACCCTCTAAGGACCCGCTCGTTCTTAGCAGATTACATTGCCGAACGGATATCGATCACGTGCTCGTCCTCTACCACGTTACGCAGATCTGCTCGACTTTGCAACTATCAGATTGCGTAAAAACCGTTTAGATTCGAGGGTGGCTAATTGTGTTGTCTTCGAAGCTGGATTCGAAGGCGTCATCAGATAAAGCGTAAAAGCGCCTACACTTGATCAGTAACTAACTAGGACATTCTGCGACTCGGTTACTTCCTGAGTTCATTAAACCCCAGTGATTGTCTCTTGGAGACTTATTTCCTCAAGCTCGATAAGACTTATTGTATCAGCTTCCTCTAGCTGTGGTAGCGCAACCACAACAAAATTCGCTACGATCGAATTTTAGTCGATCAAAGATTACCGTGTTGCCGCTTCCGGGCAACTAGTTTTTTCTTCTGTGAATGATGCCCTCTAGGCGAGCATTCATGTCCCGGTCCACTAGAATGATTTGAGTGGAGAAACCTTCGGCGCTGACTGTGCATCTGCCAGAATCTGGCAGCTTGATTCACAGTATGACTGTAGGTCATACTGAGTTCTCGTCCAGTGGTACTAGCGACTATACCACAAGCGAGGCCATCACACTACATTCACGCGCTTGTGAACGCTTCAAGACGTTCATCAGATGACCATCTGATGAAAAAGCGGCAGCCATCTCTACGGTTCGATGCTTCCAGCTGACCCATGCCTCGTATCTTCTGATCCATGGGAATCCTAGAATGACATCAAATTGGTCATCCAGATCGAGTACGATGAAATCATTATCGTACTCTTTACCTTCTATCGTGTAGTGAATGTATCACTACACGTTTATATACTGTCACGGATGCACCTGTTGCAAGGCACGCCATCATCCTTGTTGGAGGTGTCTCGCACTCAGCATACTTTAGCCTACGATCATCCAGCGACAAAGTTTTTCGACGCCCCACAGTCAACTAGAGCACAAATTGTCATGTCTTTAGTCACTTCTATCTTGTACAGGGAGAAAGGATACCTCATACTAGGCGCGGCGTCACCAGTGAATGTGTGTTGGGAGCATCCTTCGTCAGAGGTCCCGAGATCTCTCTTGACGTTGCTGGATCAGCAGGGCGCTCGGCCACTACTGACCCTGACCGTTTTTTACGGTACAGCACGTTGTTGCGATTTCGCAGCAGTGTGGGACCCACGTCACTGCCTCTCCTTGGCAGACGTACGATCGTCATTCCCAGTTTTACAAGACACTGGGAGTACTCATAAGCGTCGTGACCCATTTTAACAGTGATTGTACTTTTGCAACCGCTTGTATCCTGGAGAGAAAGGTCATTCGCTCTCTACATAGGGAGACCCAGTGGCTCTGCACTTTCGCTATCCTATCTTCTCGGTGAACGATAGGATCCCGAGTGTACATGAGCGTGGTGTAGGCTGAAGTCCGCCTATTTCTCTGCAGAGATCGCCTTATCGAGCGAATTTAGTTCCGGAACAGGTGGGTATTGACGAAATCATCCGTCACACCTTTGCTAGACACTGTAACCTGTGTTTATTTATTATATATGATCTTCAGCAAGATACAACTGACGAGGTATCGTACGTGCTGGGAGTAAGCATGTGTGTCACACTTACTCTGTTTCAGATCCAGGCGCTCAGCTCGAGCCCTGAATCCGGCACAAGGCGGTTCAAACGTGTGTTTGAGCCGCGCCTTAAAGACATCATACGTTGGGACAACGTATGGGTCAGCGGAAGGCCCAAGCTTTGGCACGGTGAGCCATTTTTGACATGGTGACCTTCATCGCATCGTCATCGATGCGGCAAGCCTCAATATCATCTTCGAGATCGACAAACCATCTCAACAAGGAGTGCCTTAAACTTTGAGACGTCAACCTGTAAGGATCGGTTCGACGCATATGCGTCGTCTCGGTAGCAGCGCACTTGATTGCTGTTGTTTCAACAGTTCAGTCTGTTGAGCACCCTGCTGCATCAACTAGTCAGCTTTTTGAGCGCCTTGCTTTATCAATATATCAGCCGGATGAGCATTTTTCTCGTGTAGCAAGGTGAGCTTTATCATCGTTTCGTGAGGTTCATGTTGTATGTATGAACTTAGCGATGGTTGCATGTTGCTCATCTCCTACTAGAGAGAGCAACATGGCACCAACAGCGGCTACGCCGACGGTTTCAGCCACACGCTGTACCGCTTGCCAATAGATATTTCTCAAATGGCGAGGTCTACACTGATGGCAATGTAAGCAGACGCCTCGAAATCTCACGTACACGGACGGAGGCAGAAGAAGCTATACGACCAAGTGACAGACTTCGTTGTAAGGGAAAAGAGAACTGTGTATGATATAGTTGAAGGAATTGCTAAGTCGATCCACCCCTTTACTAAATCGACCCACCCAATTTATGGGGGGAAGTGGGTTAATTTTGGTAAATCCTAGCTAAAGCTTTAGATATATTTTCATACTCAATGCATTCTGTGCATCTCCAGACGTCCAACCAATTTCCTGCTCTTTCCCTTGCACACTAGCAGGTTTCATACTGGCCCATTTCCAGTACAAACTTAAAGCTAATTTTGAAAATGGGTTTATCGTTTTCCAACCCGTAGCTCTTCGACCAGCAGTGAAAAGTCTTGACGGTCTGTCTTCTGGTACACACATTAACACTCTTGCATCATGAAGTATCTCGCAGTAACTGGTGGTACCGTGAGTGGACTGGGCAAAGGCATCACCATTAGCAGCATTGGTGTCGTACTCAAGTCGCTAGGACTGCGTGTCACATCCATTAAGATTGACCCGTACCTTAACTGCGACGCCGGCACCATGTCCCCCTTTGAACACGGAGAGGTGTTCGTGCTCAACGATGGCGGTGAAGGTGACTTGGACTTGGGCAACTACGAACGTTTTTTAGGCATCACGCTCACACGTGATCACAACATTACCACGGGTAAAGTGTACACAAACGTGCTCGAGAAGGAGCGTCGCGGCGATTACCTGGGCAAGACTGTGCAGGTGGTGCCCCATGTGACGGACGCCATTCAGGAATGGATCGAGCGTGTTGCTCAGATCGGTGTGGATGGTACACATGCCGGTGAGGCGGGCGCTGTGGATGATGAAGCTGCTGATGTTTGCTTAATTGAGGTCGGTGGCACTGTCGGCGATATTGAAAGCATGGTGTTCCTTGAAGCTCTGCGACAATTTCAGTTTCGTGTTGGGACCGAGAACTTTTGCCTCGTGCACGTTTCACTTGTGCCGGTCCTTGGCTCTGTGGGCGAACAGAAGACTAAACCAACGCAGCACGCCATCAAAGAACTTCGCAGTGCTGGTCTAACGCCCGATGTAATCATCTGTCGTAGCAGCTCGGAGCTCGAGCCTGCCACAAAGGCGAAGATCGGCATGTTCTGTCAAGTACCGGCCAACCACGTGCTTTCGGTGCACGACGTGAGCAACATCTACCATGTACCGTTGCTGCTGTCCAAGCAAGGTGCTGCTAGTATCCTGATGTCCAAGTTGCAGCTGATGGACCGCTTCTGCGAGCCGAACCTTGCGGCTTGGTCTGCCATGGCCCATCGCGTAGACTCGTTTGAGAAAGTGTGCAAGATCGCTCTTGTCGGCAAGTACACGGGTCTGCAGGACTCATATTTGAGTGTCATTAAGGCACTTAAACACGCAACCATGAAATGCTATCACGATTTAGAGATTGAGTGGATTGAAGCCAGTGACCTGGAAGTGGAATTGCGTGAGAGTAATCCCAAAGCCTACGAAAATGCCTGGAACAAGCTGCGCAGCGTAGACGGTATTGTCGTTCCGGGCGGGTTTGGTGACCGTGGTGTTGACGGCAAAGTGCTCACCGCCAAGTACGCCCGTGAGAACCGAATTCCGTACCTTGGCGTGTGTCTGGGCATGCAGGTTGTGGTGATTGAGTACGCACGCAATGTCATCGGCTGGAAGGATGCCAATAGCGAGGAATTTAACGCTGATGCTGAACACAAGGTGGTTGTTTTCATGCCTGAGATAAACCCGGAGGTCATGGGCGGTACCATGCGCTGCGGTGAGCGCCGCACGATTGTGCACGAAAAGGAAGACCCAGCGAAGCGCTCGCTGGTATCGTATCTGTACGGCAAGGACAAACCAATTCTCGAGCGTCACCGTCACCGTTACGAGATCAACCCGGAGCTTGTGCCTGCTATTCGTGAGGCAGGCCTCAATTTTGTCGGCACGGACGAGAAGGGTGAGCGTATGCAGGTGGTCGAGCTTGATCGCGATGTGCATCCGTTCTACTTCGCTACGCAGTACCACCCGGAGTTCAAGTCACATCCAAATGACCCGTCACCGCCATTTTACGGCCTGATTCTTGCTGCTACCGGACAGCTCTCCCAGTTTATGAAGGACGAGACCATGGGACAGCAGCCGTAAACGAGTGTGTTCAGTTGAATCGAGTTTACACGTGATGGGAATACTGCAATGCAGAGTTGGTGAGCAAGTGGGGCACTTCATCGATCTCTCAACCTGCGGAGCAGCAGGTTGTGAATAGGCTAAAAGAATTGATTTGGAATCTCTTCCTCTGCTGCTTTTGCCTTGTTTTTCTTCCGATGAAGAAGAACGGGGCGAAGCTCTCTCAGTGGGGTTCCGTAACCACCCAGCGCCAGGAACACACACTATTTCAAGTATTTATTGATTGCTATACACTTTACAAGCTGTTAAATATCATTGTAACATGGCTACATGTGAGCTATGTAGCTCGTAACATGGCTACATGTGAGCTATGTAGCTCGTAACATGGCTACATAACTTCTTTTCATGGCTACATATGAGCTTTTTGCTAAGGACTCTTCTTTTTAGCGAATCAAATCGCTTAGAGTGGCAAACAACGTCATAACCTGAGCAACAATGTCTGAAGAGCTACAGGAGGCGCTGGATGGCTTTTTCTTGGCCGCGGAGTACGGTCGGTCTGACGTTATTAAGGCACTAGCCGACCACAGTCGTGGGCGTTTGTCATTAGCCGACGTGGTGGATCCTGTGACTGGTCGCTCACCTTTGCACGTGGCTGTAGCAAGTGGTAAGAAGGACGCACTTCGAGTTCTTTTAGCTGCTGGCTTTCCCCCGGACCATCAGAGCAAGAAACAAAAAGAAAAAGACCAAGGAAATCGATCAGCATATGCATTGGCTCAAGATTTGAAGGATCAGGATCTCCTTTTGGTGTTCCATCAATTTCTGATCCAACAAGTCGCTGCCAATAACATGCAGAGTGTGAACCAGTTGCTGGCGGCTGGAGTGGATGTGGGTGTTACTGATGCAGCTACAGGAGGATCATTGCTTCATTGGGCAGTGTCCTGTCAAGCTCTGGATGTGATGAAGGGCTTATTGGAGAAGGAAGATGTGCAGAGACTGAAGCTGGTAGATGCACGTAATGGAGAAGGCGCCACGCCGATGCACTTGGCATGTCATGCAAATCAAGTGGAGTGTGTAAATATGCTACTTGCACACCATGCAGATGTGAGTTTGAGAGGTGATAAAGGGTTGAGTAAGGATAAAACGGCATTTGAGCTGGCCTCAAAGCCGGAGGTCGTAGCATTATTATCTCAATATTGCAAGGATGGAAATGATAAGGTGGAGGAATCACATTTAGATGGAAAAACTGGAAATGCAAGAAATGTGGAGAAGAATGAAGGGAAGTTGTGCCCGTCACCGGCAACTATAGGCGAACAAGGAGGGTGGTCTGGAACTTGCATACATGAAGTCCAAAATGGAAAATTGCTGTTGCAGCTTGAAGAGAAGGATTTGCTAGTGAATCAGCTGAAAAATACCATCGAAACGCTTGTGCAGGAATTGCAGGAAAGTCAGATGCTTGGAGATGAGCGTGTGTTGCTAAATTATGTCCGAAAGCTGCGAAATGAGAAGACGACCATCCAGAGACAGCTCGAGGACGGCCATGAGCACATAAAAGATCAACAACAACAGTTGAACAGCTTGAAGGAGCAGATTCGGCAAATGTCCAGTTTTGACAAACAGGTATGCAAATAGTACAAAGTATTAGTTAGCATCAAGTGGTCTGTTCTTACGAGTACTTCTTTTGCGTAGCAGCTTGAGACTGACCACGATATTCTCTCTCATACCAGTGATGGCACCACGAGCAGTACCGCAGGTTGTCCTCCAGATACTATTAACACCGAAATAGGCGTATTGGAATGTTATCAACGCGAAAAGTACCTCGATGAAGAGGATACTGAGCCTGAAACGTTTCAAGGAGAAGCGCTGAATCTGGATGCTTGGACGTCAAAGGCGCAACGTGAGCAAGAAACCTTTAATCGATATGTTGAAAAGCATGGATCTGATATCTGGAGTACTGTATGGAACGGTATCTGGACAGGGGCTGGCGAAACGGCGGACGCAGACGACGAGATCGTTATGACGGTGTAGAATTAATGATAAACATTGACGGATTGAATAATCGGTCCGGTAGTGTAGTGCTGTTGCTGCTTGTAGACACTGGCCGACTGATTGATGAAACTGAGTGCCGAGAACGGTAAATGGCTTTCGACCAGTCGATCTACGAATTTTGGGAAGTAATTGTAGTTGTCTGTGGCAAGGAGAGAAACGTCTTGCTATATGTAATCAAAAAAGCTTTGCTTGGTGCGGTAATGTCTGACTATCACGAAGTCTATCGAGCTTGCAAAACTGATCACGTGAAAAAAGCAAATGCTGGAGCCCACAAAACAATCAGTTTTAGTCATTAGGTATACAAATACACGTAGGAGTGCATCATGCTTATATGCCGCTAGCACTCTAGTTTACCTTTATGAGATTCTGAGATAGAAATCGGCACTTCCGATATGTTGTCATCATACGTTGTTGTAGACGACTTTGTGCTACAGGGAATCATGTTCAACGAGCCACCACTTCATTTTATCTAATTTGCCGGTTACTGTTTGAGTATGTATAACAAACATTAATGGAAGATCAACAACTTCTCGGAACATCCGGTTACGCGGTGAACAAAAGTCCCAAGCTTTAAGGCAAAAGTTATAATAGTATCATCAAACACCGGAATCCGATGCTATCACACAATGGTTGTCTACAAACAACGACGATTTAGTTATCACTGAAACAATCAGCAAAACAAAACAACGACTATAATCTCTATCAGAGTTGCAATGGACCCATTTACTTTTAAATTTACACTAATAATATATTTATAAACATTCTTAATTTAATTTAAAAATTTAGAAAATAGCCATTAGCACAACGAAACTGTCCATATAAAAGTCCAGCTCATTCTTGTAATCTACTTGTTATCATATTATGGTAGGCTCGAAACGCATTATTTCTACGACCTTTCACAATAAATTAGTACAGAAGAATTTGACCGGAACAATCTATCAGTTAAAACTCGCTAACAGTTAAGGAAACATTACATTACTTGTCTATTGTATAGACTGAAACTATTTAACAGTTCCTAATTAAGGGCAGAGTCTACTGACGTATCTAAAATGTCTCACACTTTAAAATTAATCGTCCAAAAGGCACGGCAGTTTACAAGAATGGCAACAGCAGCGCAACGTATTCGACAGAGATCCATGCACACATTCAAGGCGTATGATAAGAGTGAACACCGTCTATTAGTCGTAGGCGGGAATGGATATGTGGGTAGTAACATCCTGCAGCGTGCGGTTCAAAAAGGTGTCGAGGTGCGCAGTCTCAATCGATCGGGCAAACCACAATGGCAAGACGTGCCCTGGATCGACGAGGTTGATTGGCATAAGGGCGATGTATTTGATGAAAAGCAGCTGGCAAAAGCCGTCGAGGGTGTCACGGGTGTCAGTACGTGCAGCTCTTGAACGTTGATACAATTTTAGATATGATTATACTGAGCATTGGATACTAATTTTGTGTGCAGTTTCAGCGGTGGGTGCATTTGGGAACAAGGAATTCATGGAAAAAGTGTGTGGTGACGCAACAATTCAGGCTGTTCAAGCAGCACAGAAAGCGGGCGTTGAACGCTTTGTGTTCGTGTCCAACTCTCGTGTTGGTTCGTATAACCCGCCATGGCAGCCACTGTATGGCTACTACCATGGAAAGGAGCGAGCAGAGGCTGCTGTACATGCACGGTGAGAGGTTTTGAGAGGTTAAAGACTTATATCTGATGACTTAACTGATGCTTCTAATGGTGAAGGTTTCCAAACACGGGAGTAGCATTGCGTCCAGGTTTCATCTATGGTTGGCGTCGCACAGAGAAGGGTCGAGGTATTCCACTGCAGCTTGTTGGAGCACCTTTATCGATGCTTGCACGCGACCTTGGACCAGTTTCGACAGCACTGAGCTGTCTGCCGTTATTTGGTGAAGAGATGCGAGCTGCAATTCCTGTTGATGCAGTTGCTAAAGCGGCAGTACTTTGTGCCATTGGTCCTGTTCACAGACAAACGCTGGACACAACCAATATGCTCGAGATTGCCGCGTCGTTCCATGTCCATGAGTAGACTTGCAATGAGCAGCATGGCGTCTCAAGATCTGCAAGAACGGCTGGAGGAAGAAGTAAATACTGCCAATTCTCGAAAGAAGAGGTCAATTAGTTCAATCCATTCATTAACTGCCATTTATGTGATGTTCTCTGGCGTTACTGGATATTCTCACGATTCCTTAAAACATGTACTTCATGCCCGCGCTCTACAGCATCAGTCGTCGCTGCTGCTTCCTCAATAACGAGTGGAGTGTTTAATAAGAAAGAGTTTGCTGCTTGTGTTAATGAAAAGAGAATAAAGAGCGTGTTGGGCTTTTGGAGTTGGTGCTGTCTTTTTGAATCTACAGACATGAAGATTAAAAATTAATGTATCAGACAGGGTATTTTTACAATGATGTAGAATTTTATTGGCTAAACGAACATTTACAAAGAGACGGATAAGTAAATATTACTAAGAAGTTGAGCAAAAAAAAGAATGAAAAGGTCTGAGAGTAGCGTCACCAATCTTCTCTTCTTAAATTTTAATCAGGAAGCTTCGTACGTACTTTTAATCTTATAGTATCAATTGCTTTATCATATTTGCATTCATTATAGTACGTCACTTTACTTTTCTTAGATGTATCAGCGTAGGAACTCGTCAAGGTTTTGCTATCTACAATTGTGAACCATTTGGCAAATGTTTTCAAGAAGATATTGGAGGCATTGGCATTGCTGAAATGTTGTACTGTACCAGTTTAGTTGCTCTTGTTGGTGCTAGCGATCAGGTTGAAATAGTTGTAACATTGACTTTAAAGTCTCTCGTACTTGGCTACTGACACGAGACGTATGTGTTTCTAATCTCTTGATTTTTCTAAGCCTGCATTTTCACCGCGTCGATTGCGTGTATGGAATACCAAAACGGGTGCTGCAATTTGTGATCTCAATTTCGTCACAGCCGTGTTGGCTGTGCGCATGAACCGACAGAGGTAAGTCAATGGTGGCTGTAAAGTTGAGGAGAAAAAAACGAAACAATTACGAAGAAGACTGATGTTTTGCGGCATTGTGGTCTCGTAGATTGGTAGCAGTGCTGGAACGCAAGATTTACATTTTCGACATTAGCACCATGAAGATCCTAGAGACACTAGACACGTCGCCAAATCCAAAGGCATTGTGCGCGCTTTCTCCGCACGACAACGGCCATCTGGCTTTTCCATCCGGTGCCTCACCAGGAGAGATTGTGCTATATGATGCCAACAATCTTAGTGTATTGAACGCGTTCCAAGCACATCGTACAGCACCTGTTGCGATGGCGTTTAATTCTCAAGGCACATTACTTGCGACCGCTTCCGAGTCGGTATGAAGTCTGAATATTCAACGTCCTTGGTCTAACATCTCAATACCTATACTTTAAATGTTGTTGTAGGGAACACTTATTCGCGTCTTCGCCGTTCCAAGCGGGAAAAAAATCGCAGCCTTTCGACGAGGTTCTTACGGCGCTCAAGTTTACTGCCTAGCGTTTAATGAGAGCTCTACAATCCTGTGTGCTTCCAGCGACACGGGCACTATCCACTTCTTCTCATTGACTGGAGCTGAAAGCTCTGCTACAGGAAGTTTTGGCCACTTCACGCCAATCACGTCGACACTGGCAGTTGCTGGAAGCACCTTCGGTTCCACAGTCTTTGGTAGTGCTGCCGCGCCACCGAGCCCAACAATCCCGACAACGGTTGAATCTTCACCTGGGGTATCCTCGATGCATGCTGCTAGGGTCAGTGTGCCCACGGCGCGGACGACTCGTACTACCCCCAGCCCAGCTGTCACGAGTTTCGATGATGTGGCTGCAGTCATGAGCGGCTATCTGCCTAGCTCCTTTTCGGGTATCGCGGAAGGAACTCGCGACTTTGCCTATGTAAGTAGTAAGCTTCCAGAGTTTAACCTTGCCTCTTACTAATTGATGCTGGCAAATTTGTATTTGGCAGGCTCGACTTCTCTCTACTGGAGTACCGAACCAGTGTGCAATCCACGGTCCTCGGGATACCAAAAACCCGGTTGTACAGCTATACGTAGCTACTGCTGACGGCTACTTTTATGAGTACTCACTTAACCTTGCTGTCGGAGGCAAGTGCAAGCTTGAGCGGGTATGTGTCTTTTGTGCTTCATTCACTCGCTTTAGTAGGCTAATTGTGTGTTGTGTCTACTGATAGGAAAACGTCCTCCGCGACAGCACGTCCGAAGAAATCGAGGCCGTCTACATTTCGTGAGCTTTCGGCTTATTTGTTTGATGCTTTAACAGCACTATGGAACCCTTTGTTTTGACCAAATCAAGACAATGATGGACAAGATCTGCCTCGCTTTCGTCACTGTTAATGGAATCGTGAAAGCGCCGCCAAGTAATATAAAGATAAGCGATATGTACAAAGCAACAATTGGTGTTGATCGAACACAACAAGCTCGAGAGTCGGTGTTGGTCTATGACGCTGGGTTAACCGCCGACCAATCTGCTACCACTTCTAATTCGAATCGCGAGCTACTTGAACTGCACGAGGCTAAATCAGCTTTTCAAACTCGATGCCTTTGACGCTGTACCCACGCAAAGATCGATGCACCACCGCGGCAAATTGTGACGGGTCATTGCGAAATAGCTCTGCGGCTTCTACTCTCCAGACAAAAAAATACGTTTCAGGAATCCAAAACGGTCTCAATACACAAATACAATGGTCTTTTCTGCAAACCTTTATTGAGTGGGTCGTCCGGGTTCGGCTCGTAAAATAGGTAAATCAAGCCATAAATGACCGAGTTGATGTCCAATACTGGCTTCCAATCCTCACGTAGGATATTGAGACACACGTTGCCATCAAGGTCAATGTTCGGGTGATAAATCTGCACGTCCAAATAATTCATCAACAACATCGTATGCCATGAGCAACCTCATTCATTCATGTCACCTGATTATTAAATGAAAGACCACACGTACTTTGGTTAGACACCGGACCTTTGGCGGATCATGTGGGTACATCTGTAGTACAAATGACAATCCACAATTAACTTCCAATTTTGTAACCCCTTTCACGTATCAACGTACGGGCGGAATCTTAAAGCTGAACCCGTACGACGCGCCCTTCCATAGACCTGTATCCACAGCAATCTAATTCAATTGTAATGTATAATTCAGTCTCTTGTCAATTCAATGTCGTTTAAGATATCACCTCTTCGTACCTTGACATCGAATACTGTAAGGTCATTTACTTCAGGGAACGTGACTGTCGCCGCTTTGCCACCATCCAATTCGGCAATATCTTTTGTATATTAAACACCCTCATAACGTCAATTTCAATTGTACGTATCCCCTCAATTCTTCCAATTGATCACACCTTTTTGGATCCGAATTTCACCTGGTGTCCGCTTCTTCTCTTTGCTGGCACCACTTCGTTTACCACGACCAACACCGAGGATCTTTGTCTTTGGCTTAATAGACGGCATCACATCACCGACTTTGGCAGCTGCTTCTGCTGCCTCCTTCTCCTCAGCTTTTTTCTCCGCTTGCTTAGCTTTGAGACGGATCATTTTTGAAACACCCTCCTCACCCAATTTCGTATTTTTTGCGAAAAAAGATAAACTGTCGCTTGGGTTTTTGGGATTTTCATAGGTTACGCGAGGTTACTATTTTATCCTTTAACAGTTTGTGTGGACCACATTACAAAAGTGTATTCATTTCGTTACGTCGGCCTTCCGAGCTAATGCTGCACTCTGACTATAGCTTCTTAGAGCTTGGCGTTCAGGACTTGCTTGAGCTGGGGCGAAATCTCATCGTCGTCCGGGTCCGTTGCGTTGGTAAAGTCCGTGATCTGGCTGAATTTCGCCTGCACTGCTTCGGGGGTAATCTCCTTCTCCAAGTCCAAAAACACGCCGGGGCTGCGAACGTACTTGACTTGTGCAACAAACCCGCCACCGCTTTCAAAGATCTTGCCCGAGCATGGCACAGATTCGTGGCACAGAAAGGAAATCATAGGCGCTACATACTCGGGCTTCCACCTTGCCACGAGATCTGCGGGTATGACAGTCTCTGTCATCTTTGAGCCGGCACCGGGGGCAACAATGTTCACCTTGATATTCCTGCTAGCACCCTCTTTAGCCAGCGACTTTCCAAAACCAGTCATAGCAGCCTTTGCAGAGCTGTAGTTAGTCTGACCAAACTGACCATACAGGCCATTGACCGACGTGATCAAGATCACACGACCGTACTTCTGCTTGCGCATGTGAGGCCACGCCGCGTGGGTCACCGCAAATGCTACACGCAGTCCAACAACGAAAAAAGCCGTTAAGTTAGATAACATTGGGTAGTATGCACTCACAATGATTGTAGTAGTTGTAGCACGTACTTCCTTGGAGATGCACATCAAGCACCTGATTCCATTGAGCTTTGGTCATCTTGATGAAGCTCACGTCACGCAGGATGCCCGCATTATTCACTAGAATATCCACACGACCAAAGCTCTCAATGGCAGTGGCCACTACTTTGTCACCGTCCGTTACTGAATCGTAGTTGGCGACTGCGACACCGTCTAGTACACAGTATGACACAACAATAACGAGTTAGAGATGCCTTACACATTAATCATTTCATGCCGGTACTTCTGCTCACTCTTGGCCTTAATCTCATTGACCACCGAGTCTGCAGATTCTTTGCTGACATCGTTCACGACACTATAGCAACAATGAGAGACGATATCTCTTAAGATGCTGAAAAATTATGATACAGATAATGATAGTTAGCGCACATTTTGGCACCACGCTCTGCGAAGAGCAGCGCATAGCAGCGACCGATTCCGGCACCAGATCCGGTAATGATAGCAACTTGGCCGTCGTATCGAAGCATGTAAAAGCTAGAGGTTAAAGCACAGGGATGTGACGAGTTGATGCCAAATAGCGAATTGAAAGCTCGGTGGGAAAGGTGTAACTAGAGAGTTGGGATTGGATCGCTATGCGATTTAAAAGGGTATTCATATAAACAGGTATGAGAGTCGTTTCCGGATATGCAGCTCTATTGGCGCTACTTTTTGTCGTGAATGAAGCATACACATTGTGATTATGCAAAAACTAAGCAGTTTATACGTGATTTTGCTCGACAGGATACATGATGCACCGCTGCGAATGCAGTGTTAGACGTACCGGTTTCAACAGGACAAGAATTGTTACAGGCTAAGTGCACCCGCACCTGATTGGCTGAACATGGTATAGTAGCGAGAGGTTAGTGATACTGTTACGAAAACCGTCTTTTTCATTCTTTTGAGATCGGAAAATCAGATTCAACTTGACTTGTGCCAGGAAGCACAGTAGCAAATCTACCACAAAACTGTTGAAGATACTTGAACCTATCTTTGACAACACCCCATGATTCATCAAAAGTAGAACCTCCATGAGGAAGTCTAATTTCGACTTAAGAGCAGGCTCTCATCTCACGGCGATCAACAGCTCGCCGTGTTCCTGCTCAATCAAATTGATCTCTTCGAGTGTCCAAAGCGCCAGAAGGCGCCCCTTCTCCTCACAACCGCACTGAATTCAGAGTTGCGAATTTAAACCAGGTCTTGAGGTACAACGGGTGGAAGTTCGGAGTCCTTTGAATTCGCGTCTTGATTATCGAGATATCACTCAGCTACGATCTCATTGATACATTTGATGGCATTAATGAACAGAGTCGCGACGCTTCTCACAGCATCTCTCAATTCTCCATCTATGGATGCAAGGATCAAAGACACGAATGAACTCTGATTATCAATGAAACTCTTCACTTAACAAAGACTAGCACCAAATTTCTTGTAGGTCGATACATGTCATTCATTGGAGTCCCGTGTGTCCGTCTCATCACCATCCGCCAGGAATGGTCCTTTGGCGCCGATGCATTCTGTGTAGAGTAACATTAAACTCTTCCGATCTTCTCGCTGCATTGACACCATGACCGAGTGTCCTTAGATCTGTTTGCATGTCACCGTCGCACGTCTGCAAAGGCTTCAGCAATCATGATGTAAATCCACCAGCGGTCGGAAGGCGTGCACGCCGGGTTCGTTCGGCCAAGTAGGCACGAAAACGGACACGCTTGGCCTTGAACCAGCCACCGACTTTGCTCATAGACTCCCAACGGGAGGTAGAGACTTTTGAGCAAGGCGTCTCCATTTTGCTGATTAGGTTCTGCTGTCGACCAAAAAGGATGATGGAGGTCAACAATCCGTGAAAATCTTCATCACCGAAATGGACGTACATGTCTTGTGTATACGATGTCTAGCTAGTGCGCGCCACACCAAACTCGAATACAACCGGGCTTTGCAGCATTGTAAAACCTAGTGACACAACCGCTGAATCGCCTGTCATTCTTTTGCCATCTAAGAGGTGCCAATGATGCTTTCATGCCATTGAGACTGTAGACGGGCACTTCAAAGAAGGTGCCGGGTGCTACCTTCAGGCAGCGTGAGGAGACAGCAAACCGTCGTGTGGTGGTGGTATTGTTGGTCAGAGCCGAATTGCTGTACCATCCGTTGCCGTTCGCCTAAGTGAACTGCGCAACGAACTATAAAACAAGCACCCAACTACGTCGCGGAAGCTGTTTCCAGTCTTCCTGCTCGCAGTGAGTGTGATGAGTAAATTCAAAACTATCTCAATCTAATAGAATCTAACGAAATCTAAATCTAACTACTGATTAATCAAATATAAAGAGATAGGATACGAGGCTCCTTAAAAGCGTATCCCAACGTGCGAGCTTAAATATATTTTAGCTCGCTGATGGCGTCCATATGTGTCGTCAACACGATGCCTAGTCTTAGATGGTGACAATATTGACGCTAATAAACTTTTAGCGTCTTTCCATCATGGAAAAGACAGGGCATAGCACTAGGTCGTGCTTTACCTATCTCCGTCGTGTTGCGTTCGAATGAAACAACCGACGAATACGAATCAGAGTTTCTGCGCCGTGTTAAGCCGCATGCAGATGCAGTGAATATGCGGTCGCAGCAAATCAGCTTCACTATGACGCGTGCGAGAGAAATCTTGGGTGGTAAAATATCCCCAATTTTTCACGTCACACCACCCCTGCTAGTCCATCAGGACCTATCAGAGCGAGTGCAGCTGGCGCTTCTGCTCATAAGAAGCCACCAGCCCAGGCACGTCGACGCGCAACGCGTCAACCGGTCTCCCAAGAGTCGAAACGCTTCGAGTATCCTTTCCATTGGAAAAGGATCTGAAGCGTTTGCTTCACATGGCGGTGGGCCAACAACAAGGAAACGTGTGTTCCTACCCGCATCCACCAACACAGGTGGCGACCGGTAGGAGCGGCGATTACGCCCAACTACTCGCGGGATGCTTATCCTGCTGCAGTTCAGTCGCAGACGGAGAACGCTGCACTGAAGAGAGAGGTTGCTGATCTTTCGAGTCAAGTCTCGCGACTGACTTCGTATCTACGAGATGTGAGTACGAAGGATTGTCAGGGGTGTGACCGCCTGAAACTTCGTTTGGACATATGAGAGCAACTGTGATGAGAGACCCGCGTCAAACGCGGAGTCCTCCTCGATCACCGAGTCCTCTATCGCCTCACTCGTATACGGGAAACCTTTCGGCTTCTTCGTCGCCTGATCGGCAACGACGCTAGACGCACAGTAGACGTCACCATCGGTCTCGCTAGACTGATGTGGATATGCGATATCTTGTGGATCCACATACCGTTTCAGACGACACACGTAAAATACGGGGTGCGTCTTCATATACGGTGGGAGATTGAGCCTAAATAGTTTAGGTCTCCAACCTCCTCAACCACCGTCAATGGCCCAATGAATCAGAGCAATAGCTTGGCAGTACCGCCAAGTAGTACAGAAGTTGCATTTTTAGGTAGGGCAGCAGTACCTGATATCACTTTGTCCTTAACACTAAATTGTTCATTGTTTTTGCAACCATGTTGGTACGCATATTGTTTTACTTGTCCTGTGCGCTTTTCGTTGCGTCACGGACTTTATATGTGATGGCTAATCACTTATTCACGAAGCGCTGAGCTTCGCTCACGCTTTTAGCATCCAGCTCGTTTATGACATCTCCAAGAGATCGGTCATGGGTCGACGCTGCTGATAACACTATAGTGCCATCGTCAAGGAGCACAGGAATTTCTTGCTGTGCCTTCTTATTGATACATGTAGATGTCGTGACCACTGATAAATTAGCAGTTTAACTAGGGCAATTTTGACCCTCTTTGGCATTCGCACCAATCGAAGTGAGGCCCTCCCTCACTAAGACTCGGTCTGCGTACAAACGAGACTGCCGTCGAGGATGGCGCAGTCCCTAATATATCCAGGGTGTTTTACCCGTACTGGCGTGAACACTGTTATTGATAGCAAACTTCACGGATGACAAATTGCTTGCTCCTTTCTTTAGAAGTCGCAACTGTGCGCAATACATCCGCCACGACCCGATTGGCTCTTTCCGTTTGTCCATCGGTCTGGGGAGGATCGGCTGTTGACATGTGGAGCTTGCTTACCAGCAAATCAAACACATGACGCCAAAAAAACCGACGTAAAACGCGGATCCCGATCCGATAATATGGATTCGGGCATCCCGTGTAGTCGATACGCGTGATCCAGGAATGAGAGGGCAGCCTCTTTTCCTGATATCTTGGTGCTACATGGTGCCAAATTCACCATCATGCTCAGTCTGTCTACAAAGACGACGAGCCCCGTCCTGCTTTATGCTCAGGCGGTAAGCCAAACATGAAGTCCATTATGACAGACTTACAACGATCCGTTGGAATTGTAGTTGCTTCAATGTCGCACTGCTGGAAGGTGTAGGCTTATTGCGCTGACACTCTTCGCAAGAGCGAATATAGCTGGCCACTTACCGATATAGGTGGAGCCACCAAAATTCTTCCGACACTCGTGAGAGTGTCTTTTCACGGCCCAGATGCCGACTAGATGGAGCATAATAGCACTCGTGAAGTATCATCAGCTTGAGATATGATTCATGAGGGGCATAGATTCTCAAGGGATACAGGACGATATATGATGCCATAACAGGCCATCACTGTAACTAAAGCGACTTAAATTCGCTTTCAGGTGCGACGGAAGGGTAACCTTTCGTCCACCAAAATGATCCAACAGCAGGCGACAATGTTCGTCCTGACTGTAACACTCCTTGATATCGGAGGCCATCGATCTCGTCACATGGTAGGCCTTCATGGCTGCCAATGTCGACAACTTAACTCTTCCTTTCGTACGAGACACACTATCCTGGCGTCTTGCCTCGAAGCCTGGTCTACGCGATAAAGCGTTAGCCAAGACATTCGACTTATCCGGTTTATATTTAGCTTTGAAATTAAATTCAGAGAAGAATGTTAGCCATCTTGCCATCGGGCGAGGCGAGAGGTGCGGTGGATTTATAGCGGTCCGCAGAGATGCATGTATAACCCACAAATGGCTCGGTGCCCCACAAAAACTTAACAGTAGCATATTTAATTGAAAGTAGCTCCTTGTCATACACAGGGTAATTCAGCTCTGCGGCTTTGAGCCGAGACTGATACGAAATGACACGTTCAGCGCCGCTGTCATCATTCTTCATGAACGCGCTGTCGATTGCAAAATTGCTTGCATCACAGACGATGATAAAGGCCTGACAATGCCAAGGCAGGTGCCTTCGCAATAGATTGCCTCACTGATGAAAACGTGTCTACTTGCTCCTTTGATTAAGTCCATTCTGCATCCATTTTTAAAAGGTCAGGCAATGGCTTCATCCTCTCCACATAATTCTTTCTGTACTTATGCAAGTAATTAGCGAGCCCAAGGAATTGGCGCAGATCCTTCACATGTCGTGGGACTGGCCATTCCTTGATAGACGTTATCTTTTCTATGT